GCCCTTGCAGGGTTAACTAAGACTCATTTGAAGTTTCTGACTAAGGCCATTATCTCCGAGTGTCCTAAAATACCTGCCAAGACACCAGGAGAGCCAGATCATCAAGATAATTCGACATCACCTCCAGCCTGCTAAATCCATTCAAGTCCTTTGAATAAGAACATGATTCTCTGAATTTGTTTCAAAAAAAGTGGGCTATGTAATCTTAATCCCAAAGGGAATCATCGAGTCACGTTTTTCTACTTGATTTAGCACTAAAGCAGGAGCCTGCTGGGTGACAAGAAGTAGCCTATGTTTATTTAAAACACAGTGAGATGGCAACAGGTCCACCTGCATTTGAAGATTTTATTTGGAAAATCAAGAAGAGAATTCCACAGCTGTGAGGTTTCTCTCCTTAGCACTTACTGCAATATTTGATACTCTATCATATTAGTAAGGGCTTTAATTTCATCTTGCTTGGGCTGCCAGCTTCACTGGCTTTGTTTTCCTCAGCTCTACCCTTTTGAAGGGTTCACAGGCCAGCACCCAGGGTGTCGCTTTGATCAGCTGGAGGCTCCAGGAGTGACACATCAACAACGGGAGGTTCAGTTGACTGAATGATCTAAGGTTCCAATTGGCAACTGCTCCCTTTAATGCTCCCTAGTCAGCTCTTCTGCCCGCAGCCTGTCTGCAAGTCAAAGGTGTGAAGCAGCTGCCAGCAGGCACTATTAAAAGACTAAAACCCATAAAAGTCACCCACTTACTGCTTGAAAGCAGCTTCTTCAATAATCAGCTGACAACTGACAGGTATCAGTATGCAAATAACAAAATCTTCAGTTCAATGTCTAAAGTCAAATGCTGAGGGAAGGGGAGAAACAAAATTCTTTTTTCCTCCAAGCTTTTGTTTAATGACCAGAATACTTTGCAAAGGAAAGTTGTTTAAATTGGAAAAAAACGCTTACTTTCAAAAAGAAAAAAATGCTTCTGCTTTTCTTTCTAGGTAGACTTTTTGCCCCCCAAACAAACAATTTACTGAACATCAACTCGAATTTGCAAACTCTTTTGATCAACCTGAAGATGCATGTTTAAGAGGTGATGTTTCAGCTGAAAACATTCACTCATCTTTACCGCTAGCTACAAAAGTAGATCTGCTAGTACTGCTTCTACACCACAAAGCATAGAATTGCAGTTTCAAGAGATTGTTTTATTCCAGAGATGTTCCCCAACTTTAAAATTCCAAATTTTATGCCACTCCAAAGCTCTAACACTTTGGCACATACCTTTCTTTAGTCTAACTGCAATATACTCAGGTCCATTATATCCATAATATTCTTTCTAGACTTGAAGACTACTTAACCATATTACATTTGATCTTCCAATCCTGCTCTTCATCCATAGTGAAGACAACAAAAGAGAATGTTATAATTTTGTCCTCATTTTCATACCATTTCTGTTATTTTAAATAAACAACTGGCTCTAAAATAGACAACTTGCTATTTGTCCCAGGCTGATTGCCTACCTCCCCCTTCTCTGCAGGCCTGCGTAAGTGAAGAGGACGCTGAGGACGGATCGAGCTCACGCTCCACTGTCGGAGGTGTCCCGGGAAGCAGTCGCTGCTGCCTGGATCTGCGGCAGAGGAAACGCACGGTGGTGAACTCCATCCCACTGCTTGTTTCTCCTTTTCAACTAGAACAAATGTACATTGAGGAGCAGCCATGTGGCTTGTCTTTAAGCCTCCAAGAGCCCGGAGGGGTCATTGCGACCACAGTCCAATCATTCCGGCCAGCAAAGGGCAGGGAGGCCCCGGGAGCCTCCCAAGGGACACGGCTCCAGCAGGAGCTGCCTCCTCCCAACACGGATCCGTATAGAAGGAGGTGCTGAGAATCGCCCTGGGACACTTCGCAAGTTCTGTAGTTAGTTTCTTCCCTCCTCCTTTCTCCTTGTTCTGAAATGGGCCCAAATCCCCTAACACACCATTGACTCCTCCCTGCCTGCATAGAACCGGGTGGGGGATATTTACAGGTCACTTTTCTAGATGTCATCCCTCCACTTTTTTGTATAAAGTTATAGTCTTTTTTTTTAAATCTCTCTCACGCAAGAGCCCCTTCCTCATTTTCTAATCCTTTTACATGGTGGACTCTGCAGCAATAGGAAGTTGTTCCTGATTTCAGCAATCTGCGACCCAACTCCTACAACACTGACCTGCTACAGGCTGGTAGAAGCTCCAGCTCTTCCCTCACCACGGAGCTCATTCCCACGTCACCGCACCGAGCAGCTCTGACCCCCTTGGGGTTTGCTCATCTACAGCAACCGAACGCCGGGGTAGCCATACGCACAACTGATACCTGCTGCAGGACACTGGAAAATACCCAGTTTTTAATGGAACACAGACTTTTTGTGCCTGCTTTCCTCATCAGGCAGCCACACTTACTCCACACACAGGCCTGACAACACCCTTTAGAAGCCCTTTTTGTTTTGTTTTTTTCCCCCCACCAACAGGATCATATAGAGGGGAGAAGCAAATGGAGATAAGTGTAATTAAGTTGCATTAACAAGCTACAGTAATTAATTGGGAAAGAAACACATAATATTGTTTTTGTTCACTGCATCTCCCAGCTTGCAAGGGTTGAGTGCAGGAGGCACATTTGTACAGCCAACCCTGTTACTCTTTGGCTGGTGTATCTGGAAGTGCTGCTGTAGCTTTGTCCTGCCTAATCACTCTGAGGCCACTTGGGATTTTTGAACAATGCCCTTCAGAAGGGTCAAGCCTGGAGCTATGCTGGGAAAGGGAAGTGTGAGGGAAGAATTAAAGAAATAAAAACATTAAGCATTGAAAACAAATCAAAGATTGAATAATGCCCCTTTCTTTGTCCTATGTCAAAGGATCCAAGAGACAAAATACTGTTCTATAACACAAAGAAGGAGCAGTAAGAGAACACACACTGCCTGGTTGTGTGGTTTCCCTTCAAGATAGCCACAACCATCTGAAAACTTTGTATTGTGACCAAGTGCTGATATAAGTGAAGATACTTTAGGGAATGTAATTTCTTTTAAGGTCAGTTTTCCTTCTCTTTACCACAGCTTCTAACTGAGCACATACCTAAAAGAAAAGCTGACCAGCAGCTTGATCATCTGGTGAAGTAATTACAGCCCCACCTGACAGAACGGGCTGCCTCCCATCCTGGTCACTGTGCCACTGCAGGAAGCATCCACATCTTCAGAACCAGCTTTAAACATCTTTCTCAGCTTTAAACATCTTTCTCAGCTTTGACACACGCCAGTAAGTGTCAGTTAAGTAAATGCACGTCATGATGTTTTAGCTTCAGAACAACTACTCCTCCTTTCTGTCTTATGAGGAACAAGGTAAGTACCTTTTACTGGAAGCAAAAATAAAGGTTCAGGTTAAGCACCCTAGATTACCAGCAAGTGTCTTAAATCAAGTCCAGTACAAGAAGAGGGGAAGAGCAAGAGAGTTCTCTGGTTTTCAAGGGCAGTGCCATCCACCTTTTGTGCTCCCATCCCTTTCTCCTTGGCTTCTTGTGCTACACCTGCATGTCCTGCAAGTCGGTGCAATACCACAACTTGTTAGAGCACCAGCCCCCAATCCTTTGGATCTCTCAAACTATAAGAAAAAAAGAGCAGTTGAGGATCTTGCTCAAACGGTTCCCTCATTGCCAAGTTAAGAGTGCCCTCTATTGGGGACAGGCAGCCCTTGGGACTTAGTGCCAGGCAGAAACACTTCACTAGTCACTACGGGGACATTTCCCTTCTTTGGCAGTCACAGGGTTTGGAGGACAAATCCATCCACTCACCCCAGCTCCACGGGCTCCCAGGGAAACCGCTGACAAGCACCAAGAGCAGGTGCTTCCTTCCCCTGTGCTTCCCTGGTTGAACCAGGTACCTTGATTTCCTTCAGTGCCATCTACTGCCCGATACCTCTTGTACATTTGATTCCCCCAATAGAGCACTATACTAGAATCAGATGCTTAGACCTCCATAAGATAAACAGAGAAAAACCTTTTATTCTGTGAAAAATAATGCTTTTAAAACATACATTCTCTTTC